GGAAGAATCATATCGGGAGTTGAATTTCGATTGCAATACTCATGATTGGGAACATCATGGCAAATATAAAACTGTTGATTTTGAGCATAGGTTATATTGAGAAACCATGTAAGATTTCCAAAGATGGACATTCCCAATGCACCTCCTTCATATTCGGCGACAAACAACGCATAGGAGAGTGAGGCTTCATGTTTCATTAAACTCTTCCATGCCAAATACAAATGATTTTCCAGGACATGATCCATGGCTTGATAATCTTTCAAGAGTTGTCCCTTAAAGGTTTCTAGAAAGAATGCAACTCGTGTCAGGCTTTCATCGGCATAGGAAACAATTCTTGAAAATTCCTTATCCCGAACGGAATGACTCAATTCAGAGACAGTGGCGCTGAAACAACTGACCCAAATGGCAGATAAGATCAAGACACTAAGGATAATGAGACCCACGATCATGATTATGAGGACATACTTGATGGAGAAACAACACGAATATTTGGTGGAATTGTCGTGAGAATCAAGGTGGCTCGATACCAAGGTGTTGCTCTCATCTGATACATCTTCAGCAATTTTAGTTGATACGAGAGGTTGGATTTTGATGGTCATTCTCGTTCCTAGGAATGATTTACGAATGATTTCTTTTCGAGTCGAACGAACGAGATGGAGTAGAGTTTGAAAGATTTAGAGAAATATCTCCCGGAAGAGATTAGTTTCATCTCTTGGATTTGAATCTAAAGAGATGCATCAATACCAATCAAATCTTGCATCAAGATGTACAGCTTGGTCAACTGTAAAGCGCGCAAGGTTTTGTTGAGGATGTGCTATTATCAAGCAGCATTATCAAGCGTAGGAAGAATCCAAGCCAGCAAGTGAAAAAACTCGCTTAGTGGCAAGTCAAAAAGCAAAACAAGAAATGCAAAGTCACAGTGTGAGGAGCGTTCGTAATATTACCATTCGTGCTGTTTAATTTGGATAAACCAATAATTGTTGTGGGCGATACCATATAAAAGCATTGTCAAAATCAAAACAAAATAATGCTTCACCTAAAGCGACCAGAATTGTGTCCTTAATCACGAACGGTATAAAGTTGAAACACCTGTTACGAAAATGCTCCTGCAACCCATAATAGATTTCTGTCAAATTGTACCGTTTCTTGAGTGTGGTATCATACACAAGAAATGTTGAATATTCTTTTCCATCTTTGGGACCGTTTGCACAAAATATATAAGGCATCATGGAACAAGCGATGAGATGAGTACTATCCTTCATGATTGATAAGGTGGGCTCTTCAGATTTTGCGTTCGTTTTGATATTATTTGAATGTTCATTCAAGATGTTATTCAATTTTTCAATGGACATCTTGTCTGACTCTACATATTGCAGTGGCAATTTTCTAATCATGGTCATGGATTTTTCAAAATTATTTTCATATACATGATTCCACTTTTTATCCATTTGTGTTGGAGCCTGAATGAAATCTTGTTGCTCTTCCTCTTGAATGATGAATGATTCATGATGCGAAGGATTTCGTTTCTTTTTTTCAATCTTGTGTTTAAAAGAGACTTTCTTTGGCATGGAAAGTACATTCTGACCAGACAATAATTCCTCTTTCGTGATCATTATCAAATTCTTCTCTTCATCATCACGTTCTTCTCGATACAAGGCTCGTTGTTCTTCCATGGCGGCGATTTAAAAAAAAAAAATTTTGCATTAGCCGGGAGTCGAACCCGGGTCACCAGCTTGGAAGGCTGGTATGATACCGTTACACTACTAATGCTTTTCACATGGATAACTTCAAAAATTCAAGCACGTATGGAACCGTAATGATCGTAGAGGTTGCTTTATTCGACATGCGATTCTAATCTTCTCTTAATGTCTCCGTATATTGTGTCATTAGTGTCGATTCGTTTTTGATATTCTGAATCAGGAACTTTTGCGGAAACGTTTCTCAATTTCTGAAAAGACGTTAGGCCTAAAACAATTTACAAACACTTACCAACATGCTCAGATATGATGCATGATCTGTCACCATGTTAATGAACCAATAAGGTACGTAGGACAATTTTGGATCAATACTTCCCACAATTTGTACATAAGTCTCCTCTAGTTGAATCAGTATTGTATCCCTCGTGGCCAACAAAGTAGTAACACATACCTGGAGAAATATATTTTACAAGAAAACCAGAATATTCGCACTCTGCACATACATTATTTGGCTTTTCAAACTTGGAAATTATATCTTTGTGTTGTGGCAACGATTTTGATGTCACACCTTTAACGGCTACCATAATTGATCCATCTGTTTCAAGCTTGTCAACCGCAAAAGCATACGAAATTAAGTCTCTGGAGCTAAATGGCCACGGTAAATCGAACGAAAAATATGAAAGAAATCTGTACTTGGCCAATTTATGAATTATTAAGGATTCTCTCATCTGTGGTACCCATGATTTGTAAAGGTCCACTATTTTCACATAAAATTTTGTTTTTCATGTTATTCAGAGAATTATTATATGATAATTTCAAGATTCAACAAGTATAGAAATAATGATAATGATTATAAATTTCACAACCAAGATCATAACAATTATTACCAGAAAATTAGACGGGTTTCTTACATTAAAAACGAACCTTCATAAAATATGGACAGCACTTGAAAAATCGGAGCTGAAATATGTCCTTGAACTTTGACGGCATGCATTCCTCTTCCATTGTCCTTGTAAAAACTTTGCATCTTGTCTTTTTCAACACACAATTTCCAACCATCATCCGAATTAAATTCTCTCATGACTTGCTCTGCCAATTTTCCATCATGAATAATTTGTTTTAATTTTTGAGTTATTTCCGAAGGTAGTATTGATTTATTACTACTAGGAGACTCAACATTTGTAACGTCAATTTCATTATCCATGAGTAAGTGATATGCTTCCAACAACCGTTCGCTATCAAATAAATCGAGCGCTTGTTGAATGAGAGTATTTTCAGCCATTTTTTTCAAATTGAATGCGACAAAATCAACAACAACAACTTTCACCCTCATTCAAACATATAATGAACGATCTCTTATCTTAAATTTTCAGTTATTAACTTTGATTATATACTTATGGATATTGAGCTCTCTGTCAAGGAAGTTAGACAGTGATACCTTAAGGCTCTTCAGACTACATGGTGAGACAATTTTTGGAATGATTCAATTGCGTGATGTGATTTTTCTCATCATTGGAAAGATAGATGAAAAGTCGATTCGTATCCACTTGGAATTTTTGTACGAGTTTCAAACTATCGATCATGACTGTCTCTACTTGATCATGTACATATAAATCACACAGTGCTAGATGAAAAGTTCTCAAATTAAATGTCGTCTTGACATAATCTCGAACGAATTGCAATACTTTTTCATCTTGTTCCAAACCACCTGATGAATGAACAGCAATAGTGTACACAAATGATTGTTTTTTTTCCAACTTGACTTGTTGAACTAATTCCTCAAATCCTTCGAATCGTTCATCCATTTCGTTCCACATTGTTTTTTCACTCTCTGACAAGTCGTGTACAAAACCTCGATGCAACACGAGCACAAAAATGATTCCACTCAACTTTTTACCATTCATGATGGATGATAATCCATCCTGCAATGACAAGTATTCCAGTTCAAATTTCACCACTTGATCATTCGAGATTTTTCGTTCGCCTTGAAAATAAGTATTTGGTGTGCATGGCTCGTATTGTTCGGAAAAGTGGTGAGATATTAATTGATTACAAAATCCCTCTGCATAGGTAAATCCACCCGAAGAGGCAGCCGCAAAAAGAATTGGCTGTGATACTTGTTGTTTCATTGGTATGGTTGATTTCTCATTTGAATAAAAGTTCTCAGGTATTTCATCGGGATGCGTTGAAAAATAGTTCATTCGGAAATACAAGGTCATGAGGGTCGGAGGAGGTGAGTGACAATTTTTCTTCTTTTTTTCAAGCTTCGAGAATGGTAATTCAGTCTTCATGGAATGATAATCATGCACAAGGGAAGGGTTTAATTCATCAAAATGTTCACATAGAATTTCCAACCAAATGTTGTTGTTACAAATTATTTGATAGAGCGATCGACATGCGAGAGAAAAATTGTAAATGGATCGAGGACTATTCTGCAAGAAGGGAAGAATGACTTGTGAAACGAGATCCTGACTTGTTTGGAGTGTTTGTGAGCTTGTTTGATGGTTGTTGTGTGTAGCCATTTTTTATGTTGACAAGTTCATTTCAAAATTCCAACAATCGTTTCCGCAATGCAGGGTCATCTTCCATCATTACTCTGGTTTCTTACCATAAAATAGCGACCTCATTCAGCTCGTCCCTTCTATTGACATACCAGTAAGAAAACATCACTGAGTGTTTTTCGTGGTGTTTGTTTCGGTGGTGTTTCTTAAATTTAAAATAGATCTCAATAAATAGTCATTAAGTTGGTCAAACGGCATAGTAACCATTGTCTATTTGTAGTCATTGGCCTTCTCTTGTGCTTTCTTTTCTTTTTCATAAATTTTCGTCAACAGCTTCAATTCCTTCCTGAGATTCTTTTTGTGCTCCTCTTTCTGCAACTTCTTTTCTGCTTTTTTTCGTTTCTTGCGAAGTTTTTTTAATTTTTTATAGCATGAAGGACAGAAGCACACCTTGACCAAACATTGTTTCGGTGTGTTGTGTTCTCGATATGAAAAATTGAGAAGAGAGCTCTCCAGCTCGTTGGTGGCACTGCATGCAACATTTCCACAAACAGTGTTTCCTTTTCCTTCAAGAACTTCTTTTTCATTCCTCCATCGCAATCCGAGTTTGCCTTCCTTGTATTTACTCAAATCGGCAACTGCATAATCTCTAAATAATTTACTCTCGTATTCTTTGGCTAAATTTTCACCATATGCTTCCTCAGTATCGTCGCTGCCGACAGTTTGTTCACTACTGCTCGCTTCCGATGATGATCGAATAAATTGATAATGTTTTTTTAATAATTGCATATCACTTTGATATTCGGATGTTGATGAAATTTTCAAAATATTGCTAGTGGATTGATGATCATGATGAGCATCATCATCCAAAAGACCATGACGCTTCATAAATTCTTTCCTCTCCTTTTCTCGGTCGTGAATCATTTTTTTCTTGTAAAAAACGTCACACTTCAAAATCTTATCAAACCTTACAACAAACCAAGTCTGTCGCACAATATTGACATTCACTGTTTGGCAAGCTTTTCTTTAACCATCTCGATCAGCATGTCCGAGTATTTTTGTAGCGCATCTTGAGTGGACGTCATGTTCACTTGCCATGCTCTTGAAGCAAAGGTACTGCTCATATTTTGCATCAGTCTTTCTAAGGCTTGTTTGGATTTGGTAACAATTTCAGTGTCCTTGTTCTCTGCATTCTCTAATTGATCAATGATGGAAAGAGCTTGCGTGAAGGAGTGAGAAATTTGGTTGATTTTCAAAACGAGTGACAATGGTATTTCTGATAATTGTGGAATCGAGTGATCCGTTAGGTTCAGCTTGGAATTGTTGGACTCTGTCGGAGTAGAGACAGCTGTGTTTGACGGAGTGGTAATGCTACTTGGTACTGATGTAGAAACAGAAGGGATAGGATTTGAAGGTGTTTGTTGTAAATTTGGTGTGGAGATTACAGGAGTTGGATGTGGTGCAAGATCTTTGGATACATGATTGTGTGGTTGTGGTTGAGGAAGTGGTTGTGTCTGCTTTTTTGGAGACTTGTTCTTCTTGCCAATGGCTTTTCGTAAGAATTGGGAGGTGACACTGATTCTTCCATCACAAATTTCATTGGGATCAAAGGAAATAGGTCTTGCGAGACTCTCATAGTTTTTGATAAGGAAATCTTCTTTCGTAGGCTCTACAGGAGGAGGATCGAGCTTAATTGTGGTGGTTTTATCCTCCTCGTCTTCAACATCTGTGGGTAGACCAGCAGTAGAAACCTTATTCTCTGCGCTCACCAAAAAGTCTGCTGGTTGTTCGAGAGAGGTGAAATAAACAACCTCTTCCTCCGTGTTATCTTCAATGTCATCATTCATCATATCTAATTCTTCCATTGATGACAGTTTAAATTCTTTCTCTGTGGAAGAAGCTAACCATTTGCTAGTCGATGGTATAATTACATTGTTGTTGGTTGTAGGAGTATACTGAACATCCTCTGCATTGCTTGGCTTTTTCTTGGCCCATGAGGGAAGAAGAGTGTCACGAACGGACAATTCTACAGTGGATTTTGGTGTCATCTCCATTAAGGATGACTTGGGTTTTGAGATCTCTGGCGGTCTATTCTTGTTCAATAGTTTGACAATATTTGGAGCCAATCTCCAAACAAAAATACATCCATCGCCTGATACTGAGATAATGCGTCTCGAATCTTTGGAAATTTTTACACCTGTGATAATTTCAGAGTGTCCACTCACACGAGCAATACATTCACCATTGTTCAAGTTGTACAATCTGATAAACTTGTCTGCTGAGCTTACCACTACAAATTCTCCAGAGATATCAAATGATACTCGAATGGGCTCAGACGATGGAGAGTATGTATCTTGCATTGATTTGGTATCTACCTTATAGCTTTGTTTTGATTTACATTTGTCAAGCTCCCAGACATTAAGTTTCTTATCTTGACCAACAGTTACAATATCGTTGTTGTGATTGATATCCAAATCAAAAATTGTTCCATTACATTGACAGTTCTGATATCTCTTAAATGTGTATTCTCCATGTGGATCCATTTCAATCTTTCTAAACACAATGGACTTGTCAGCACTGCAACTCACAAGATATCTATCACCATTTCGATCCGTTGTAAATTTAACGGAAGTCACAGAAGCAGTATGATCATCTAACGAAGTGACTAACTTGAATTGAGCGTTTTTAAATTGAAAAACATGAATGAGTCTATCACGGCTGCTTGTGGCAAACAATAAGTCAGAGGGATCTTTGGGATTCGTGCTAAAATCTATCGATAAAATCTCAGCTTCGTGAGCGACCTCAGCAAACTCGTTAGTAAAGCTAGAAACCTGAAATAATTTGATTAGGCCTTGTTTTGTTCCGCAAGCAACATGATCTCCTGAAGAAGAAAATTTAACACTTCGTATACCCTGCTCTCCATTTGGATTTGAAGGCTTATCCTCAATGACATGTAATAGATCTTTGCAAAATACATTCTTTGAAATGAAAGACTCTCCTCTCTCAATCTTTTCGCTCACATGAAGAGTGCTACTCGCCTCAACATTCCAAATTCTAGCTGTATTATCACTTGAGCATGTAATGAAAGAACCTGGAGGTAAGTTCTCGTTGTTTTCTGGAAATAGATCGATATCCCAAATAGAATCGCTGTGGCATAGGAAGCTTCTGTACTTGGCAATACGTTGCAAATTGCTAATATCCCAAATGAAAAAGCTTCTATCGCTGTAAATGGTAACGACCTGTCTCGAGTCTAGCAATCGGCATGCAACACAATCCACATCATTAAGAGGTGACATACTTGCAAGTTTGGGAGGCTTGGGTAGTGTACACTTAAATTTTAAGGTTGATGGCTCAAACAGTCGAACTATGCCATTGGAACAGCCACAGCAAATGATGTCCTCATTACCGCTAATGGAAAAAGCGGATTTGACTTTCATGTCTAGCCATTTGGTTATTTGTCTATTCTCGTTTAACATGCACAAAATTCCATCAGAATTGACTGTATAAATTCCAACGGTTCCATCTTTTGCCTTAACAATGTCTACGCTCACAAAGTTAGCTTCTTTAAAATTGCCTAGAATACACCTAGATGATTTAATTTCAATGGTCCCGTTGGTTGCTTGATGTTCAATATGATGATACTTTACAAATTTGTCTCCAACTGTCACAAAGAAGGCTCCGTCATGAGAAAAGGCAACATCAGAAGTCTTGTTGCGTAAATATCACGTTGTTAACGATATCAAAATTCTATAAAATCAACATACCTTCCTGATGTTTTTAATCGTTTGTACGAGTGATCCTCTTGTATTGGTGTTGCTGTTGGTATTGCTTGTTGAAGAGCTGCTCGAAAGTGATGAACCTAATCCGCTCGAGTTTGGATTTGAAGAAAGATCCCATAATTTAATCGTTCCATCATGCTCATCTCCAACACTCACTAAATATTTAGCATCGTTAGAAAAAGCCAAACAGGAAACTCCATACTGATGTCCATCCTTTTTGAGCTCAATAACCTTTTTTCCACTCAAAACGTCCCACACAACTATGGCTGGTTTTGAACCTCGTTCACCAGCTGCTAACAGTTTGCCGTTTTTAGAAAATTGTAAGCATGAAAAAGGCTTATTGGAAGATGTATTTTGTAAGAATTGATATTGTTTGTTTTTTCTTGGATTATAGCATACGACAACATTGGCAGCACAATATGCAACATATTTTGTTTGTGGATGAATAGAAAGCTTGGTATTGGCATCGGTTGTGAGCCCAATGATCTTCTCCAATGTTATTCTGTTGCTAGCGCTTCCTGATAATGATGAAGAAGGAGTACCGGAACAAGCTCCGACGTTGTTATTGGCATTACTGCTGTTGGGTGTTGATGTTATTCCGTGTTGAGAATTTGGCTTTCTCTTTTTTGTTTGTTGAGAAATACTTGGTGTTGTTGTGGTTGGGCCAATGATTTGATTCAGTGGTCGTTTATTCAACACAGAAGCAAAGGGTTGAGGTCCTATCATCGAGGCGAAGCAATTTTTGATTTTTTTTTGCGTTTGAATTTACACTATAAAAAACGGTCTGAAATTGTGAAAAATTCAAAGTTTGGTGCACAAAACAAGTTCAATAAAATTATTATATTTAATTTCAATAAGAGAGGAATCGGATGATTATAAACTTCGAATGAATAATAATTTACATATTTGTGGATTGATAGGTCTTGTTGTCCTTCTTTCTTTCATCCAACAAAATCTCAACATAGGCCTGAAGTGTACGACTAATGTCACGACCATGAGGAGTTGCAAATTGGAATTTCTGTTTGCTCAATACTCCTGAAACAAAAGCAAAAGCATTTCTCTTATAGGCCCACGAGTAAATATCGGCATAGCGTTGTGTGAGAATTGGTTCCTTTGTTCCTAACTTCAACAATTGAATACCATTTGAGTTGACAGCGAGAATCACTTGATCAGGTAAATTAGCTTGATCCTTGTTCACAGTTTGTACAGTCCAAAAAGTACTTCCATAAAAACTCCAATTACGAACATAATTGAGATAGTGAAGCATGGCATCTTCTTTCTTTAAACCAATTAAACGGGCGTGTTCTTGAAAGACATCTCTTTCCCAATCTTCCAATTTACGATTTGATTGAAGTAATGGAGCTGGAATGAAACGTCCAATTTTATCTTTCAAGAATCCAGCTGTGTGTTTCTTCTTGTTGTGATCACCAAAAGTTACTTGCATTTGCAAACCAGCCAATTCAATGGCAGCAGATTGAGAGCAAGGATATGTTCCATCTCTCACGTCAGCAACAGCTTGTATATAACTGTAATTCAAAAACTTTTCTTGTTCACGTGGAATTGCTTTATGTTTCAAAAAGACTCTTCTCTTGAAGACCAATTTCGAATCCTTCTCCCAATCTTTCTTCAACTTTTCCCATTCCGTTTTATCGTTCACATATTTCTGAAAATCAGCATCGGATCCAACAGTCTCATAGACCATCAATTTACATGGCTGTTCATCATCATCGAGACATCGGCATTCACCGTTTTTGTAAAAGAAGAGTGCGAATGTTTCTCGTTGTTCGAGTTCAATCTTCTCGGCCACAACAATCGAGAGTTCACGAGCACTGATGGTTGGAGCAACGGCGAGAGTTTTAAAAGAGTCGTCGACAAAGTAGACACGAATGACCAGTTTGTTATCCATTTTTTATATTGATGATGATGATGGTGTGATGATGTGGAAAATTTGATGTGCAAGTTTTGAAACACAGTATGAAGTAATTTAGATCTAAACTCGAGTGATTGTTTGATGGTCAACTCTTGAAAAAATTTGATGAAGAGAGCTTGGTGGTGTGATGATCTCTCTGTTGATTTTTTTGATTTATGACAATTGACAGGAAGGCAAGAGACTGGATGGTCAACAGAGCTGTCACTGAACTTGGCAAATGAATAAGGCCTTTCGGGATAGGTATCACTCTTTAAAAACATGCCATGATCCTTGTTTCTTTGTTTCTCTCCTTATCACTTCCTTCATCATGGGTGCAAATCATTCAGTTTCTCAGCTGACTTGTTGATGAAACATTAACCACAGTCTACCTCAGCAGCGTTGTTCTTCTAAATTCGTGTAAAGAAGAACCTTCAAAAAATGCATTTCACAACACGTGTGCCAAGTTCCGTGTTGATGATATTGTGCTGCAGTTTCATCATTCATGTCCTGTTGTTGTGTTGGACTGCCTCTCCAATCGGTGCATCATCTCAAACTTCTCTTAATGATTGTCCAACGTTTAGATCCAAACCCTTTAACCCCAAATTTCCCTACGAATTCGATGGTACTGTAGAATCCAGCACCTACATTACCATGAGAGATCAAGTTAAGATTGCCTGTGATCTATACATTCCATTCCGAGCTCTCAATGAAAATCATAGGCTACCCACTCTCTTTCATGTAACCCGATATGGAAGATCGCACAGAATACGATGGCCCTTTTCCTACATCTTTGGAGAGAGAGTAAGCTCGAGAGGAATTCCCTTTAAAACCTATACGGGAAGAGGCTATGCTGTGGTTTCATGTGATACGAGAGGAACAGGAGCCAGTTACGGAAAACGTTTATATGATTTTCATCATGAAGAGGTTGAAGATTATCGGGAATTATTGAATTGGATTATACAACAAAAATTCAGTGATGGAAAAGTAGTGAGTGTTGGAATTTCATACGATGGAATGGCAACGGATTTTATGATGTCGTTGAATCATCCAGCATTGGTTGCAGTTGCAACAATCAGCTCACCTTTTGATATGTATCGGGATGTGTTGTATCCGGGTGGATTGTATCAGGTGAGTGTAGTTTTGAAATTTCATCATCTATAATATCCATTCTGATTCATGAATGATGAATATCTATAATATCCATTCTGGTTCATGAATGATGAATGTATATAACAACGGTGTATGTGGTTGGATGTGGACGATTTTTAAATACTTTTTCAATGGCATATTTCAATAACAACATTTAACCATGATCTCAATTGCAAAATTTAACCAAAAATGGAAACATTTAAAGTATGCCTTTTTGGATGCCTATTTGAAATCGACAAAAAATCTGGAAAGTGGTGGCTTACCAGATCGATATAAAGCTTGCAAGGGTTGTGAACCAGTGACCTTAAAAGAGAAATTCTTTGTTTGGTTGGGCAAGTTCATGATTGATGGTGTTGAAAAGGTCAATTTTGATTTCGAGTCTTATCATCGTGCATTGGAGGAACACAAAGGATCTACGAACACACTCGATTTAATGCCATTATTTGAGGAAGGTATTGACAAGGAAGTGACAACTTCAACATTTTCTTATAGTTTAGAAAGAGATGGCAATTTTAGAGTGATTAATGCAACAAAACGTCAAATTCCAATGATTATGTTCGGTGGATATTACGATGGTACCATTCAAAATTCAGTTGTGAAAAGATTTTATTCCATGAAGAATAGGAAGAACAAATTGGTAAGTGTGAAATTATGGAAATAGAATTAATTATTGAACGTTTGTTGTGATTACTTGATTCAACATGATTTTCACAATGATTCACATGGCGTGAATGGTCACAATTCATGAATAGATTTTGGGATCCTATACTCATGGATTTAGAAAATGTGCATCTCCTTACTTGTCAGGAAACTCTCCTTGCTTTAATGCCATGATAGAAGCAATGAGATTTTTCGATCATTATGTTGGAAAAGATACAGAGACAGGTATCGATACGGAACCGAGAGTTCATTTCCATACGGTTGGAAGTGAGAAGTGGCACTCTGCAAATGAATGGCCTCCAAAAGAAGTCTCTGAAACCATTTTCAATTTAGATGGAAATGGAAAATTAATCGGTGGTGGCATTTCTTCTGATTCTTCTTTAAATTTTTCACACAAATTGAAATTGAATTTGACAGAACAAGTTGTGATTCACTCGAAATTCAATATCATGTCTCATTTGTATGAGAAATATCCACAATATACAGAGAAATTATCAGATCCAAATTGGAAGAATGGAAAATTGAATTATATTTCCGAACCTCTTTCAAACAGTATTGAAATTACTGGATATCCAAAAATTGATATTGAACTTTCTGGTGACAACAAAGATGGAGTCATTTTCGCATATTTGATGGAAGTTGAGAATTCAAGTGGTCTGACTCGTCTTATCATGGACACTCAATTAAGGCTTGTTCATAGAAAGCTTAGATCTAGCTTGAACAATGGGCTTGTCGACGTCATTCCCATTCATTCTTTCTATATCACAGATAGGGAGTACCTGCAGCCCAATGAAAAGACTAAGGTATCTCTTTACTTTCCGACAATTTCATATCATGTACAAAAGGGCAACTCCTTGGCTCTATCACTTTTCAGCTTTGACTCTCTCAACTTTAAATTATTTAACGGCACTGACGATTTGTCAAAAGAGATCATTGTTTATTCAGGCTCCCTTACTTTACCAACCATTGTTAGAGATGGCAATGGCGTTCCATCCAACTCCAGGAAGAAGAGTACAAAGGACGAGTTTTAAGTCTAGCTCATTCCTCGATATTCAATTTTGATTGTAAATACAAACTTTTGGGGGTATTCATTGTTTTGGTTTTTTAGTTAAGGAACTTTGCTCAACGACAAGAGGTTGAAAGTTCGTTCTTTTTCGTTTTGTTTTCTGGTCTTGATCCATAACGGCTTGTTCAGTAGTAGAAGCTTTTTCGTTGGTGTTGTCAACACAGGGAGAGTGACAAACCGGATTCGGAACCAATCGGTCGAATAGGCTCCACTCAAACTTGTCAGAAGCACGCTTACAAAATTCCACTCCTCTTACGCTGTTTCCTCTCTTATCTAAACGAGGTGAAAAAATGCACATTCCCATTACAGAGGGGATTACAATACAAATTGCGCCAGCAACACCAGATTTGGCTGGCAGACCTACAGTACATGACCAATTTCCGCTAAAGTCGTACATTCCACAAGATAACTTGAATATTAAGCCACAGTAGTTGAGCAATGAGCGAACAATGAACAATAACAACAACAGTTGACAAATGACTTACCATTAGCTGTAAAGCACATTTCACAGTATCTGCAGAAACAATAATTTCGTTCGTTAGAGGACATGTACCTCCATTCGCAAGTGTTGCTGCCATGGTGGCCAAGCTATTGCAATTCACTAGAATGGAGCATTGTTGAAAATATAAATCAAGCGTATCTTCAATATTGCTTCCTTCTGGAAACACATTATTTTCTTCCATGTAATAGGCAAGGGCAAAATTTCGATCACCTGTTGATTTCTCACTCAAAAATGTTGCATTGTCAAAACCAATCTTACTCCCACCAGCAAACCTCGAAAATTTACTGGAAATATACGTAAATCGCTTCGAGGGCGATAACTCTGGTTTCACTAATGAACAAACAGTAATGGCACCGGCGTTAATCATTGGATTGTGAGGCTTGTTGTGCTCATCCAATGTGAAGGCATTAAACGAAACACCACTTGGTTCAAATCCAACATATTGATGCACATTATCGGCACCTCTATCTTCGCAAACTAAACAATAAGTGAATACTTTGGAGCAAGATTGAATTGTAAAATCCACGTCACAGTCTCCAACAGAAAATCGCTGGCCGTCCACGGTACAAATACTGAGCCCATAATAGTTTGGATTCACTTCGGCTAACTGCGGAATATAAGTTGCTACATTTCCGTCGGTCAGAGGTCTTGTTTCTTCGAAAATTTTCTCAATTTCTGCACAAAAGTTTCTCCAATCGGTGATAGCTAACCTTCCGGTGAGTGCTCTACTTATTATATTGTCCTTCTCTTGAATTATATTATAAAATGTATCAAAATCAATTTCTAAATTTCGATATTCTTCCGAAATGTCAGAAATGGCTAAAGATTTTTCACTTGGCATTCCATTCACAATTGTTGCAGCTAATTGTTGAATGATACAAGAAAGATCGGGATTATACTTTGAATCTAAGCCTTCCTTCTTCAAGGCATACTCCAAATCTCCAATGGTTACAAACCCCTTCTTGTTTTTATCCAACGATGAAAATAATTGAGAAATAGAATTACGTTCCTGTTCAAATTTAGATTGAATAAAAGCGTCTGGAGAGCGCCCTGTGGTTGTTCCTGAGATAGCAGGGGAAGCTGTTGGTAAATTTTCATTTCTGTAATTTTTAGTGTTTGAACTACCATTGTTTCCATTTTGTGTTGGTTGAGTGGTTGATGATGATGAAGAGGATGTTGCCGGAGAAGCATTAATTAATGATAATGATTGATTTTGTTTTCTCTGATCTTCATTTTCTAATTCCTTTTTAGAGTCGTTTCCTAAATCCAATAAATCATAAACATTCATTTCCGATACTTGTGGTGATGTTTGATTATGATGATGATGATTTGGTGGATGAATTAAATGCAAAGGAGTGTCGGCTTCTGCTTCATCCACATTCGTCAATGAACGATCTTTCATTTTTTGTGAATCGGTTTTTCAATAAGGTGGTCTGAATTGTAGGGTTTGATTCTCACCGCAAACATCCAGTTTTTGAATAAATTAACTCTGAACACCAAGTGTGAACTTTGAAAAGGACTTCGACAGTAAGTTATAATTGAGAAAATTTGTTTATTTACAAGAAGAGAAATAATACAAACATGCAGACATACATGCAACTATTCATTGCAATTTCCACATTGCTTGGTAACAGAGTTGATGCTTGGTTCATTGGTTCAGTCTCGAGAATCATCAACAAAATTATCAAGGAATGTGGAAGAATGAATGTTACCCATATGTTTGCATGTTTCATCTTTTTGTAGAGCTCTGAGGATACTTTCATATGGACATCTTGCATTGGGAGTTCACGTGTCAGTTGTATCCATCCATTTTGTTCTTCCTAGTGTAATCACTTGAAACTAGTAGATTAATTCTTGGAAGAAGAAGGGGTTGAACTAGTGTCCTTGCTAACAGGAGCCGTATGTTTCAGTGGTTTGGTTGCAGCATTGGACAACTTGTTCAAACAAATGTCATGAGTGGAGACTTTCATTGATCGAGAAGAGTCTTGTTGAACCACTCGAATTAAACTTCTCACATGGTCTGTCTTGCCTTTTTGACAATACAGCATGTGATAATCCGGACATCCATCAAATTGGACGTAAATAGGGTTTTTAGCACGGTTCACTCCAAAGTGATTTTCTAATAATCCTTGGAGAGTGGTAACTGAATTTCGAGAACATTCAATCACTTGTGGTGAATCGGAGATTGTCAATTGTTCCAATTCATTGGGATCGAACACATGCTTTCCAACTAACTTTGGACCTTTGAAGTAATGAATGTTGAGATTGAATGAATTTGAAGAATGAGTTCCCTCACTGTTGGCATTTCTATCCTGATCAAAGATTACATAGCTTGTTTGGGAAATCTTTGGAGGATATTGAGAAGTATCAACCATTGAGGAAGAACCATGTGCCTGATCGAGAGCATGCAACCTTTCTCGAAGAGCGTTCAATCTCTTGGCAAGGTTGGATTCTACATTGGGAGATCTCTTTTTCTTTGAGCTTTGAAGAGAATGACCCTTCTTACTCTTCTTTGGAGTTGTGTTCTTCTTCTTCTTTGCTTTCTTAATGTGAATCTCCTCGTTGTAAACAGTAGTCCCAGCAGAAGAAGAAGAAGTAGAGCAAGGAGAGGAATCTGGAATCTTTCCAAGCATGGCTTCAATCTCTTGAAAAGAAAGAGCCTCACCAGTAGTGGTTGTTGCCTGTTCAGCATGAGGCTCAGCTTCTTTAGTAACCTGATTGAGAGTGGTGCTGGTTTCAGTTGGACTGAGAGGTCCTTTCAAACCTTGGAACCATGCATTAAACTCATCTTCAGAATCAACATTGGAAGCAGCAACAGGTGATCCATGACTAATTGTTTGAGAGGATGAACAAGGAGTTTGATCATCTTCAAACAACATGGAAAAGTCATTGGAGTCTTGATCAGCTTGATTCATCATGGTAGAAACACCATGATTGGATCCTTCATCAGAGAATGAATGAATCAAACTCTGAAGAGGAGAGGGTTCAAACAATTGAACCGTTGGACTTGGTTCGAATTCAGAGAACAAGTCAGAAGAGAAGTGAACAGAGTTGTGAGAGAACATGGTGATGAATGTTGAGGTGCTTGCGAGAGAGAGTAGCGAGGTTGAAACTAATGTTAAAGAAGAGTTAAGCTTGCGTGATTGTCTTGTTTTTTTGTTATTGAAAATCTCTTGCTAGTTTTTTTTAAACCATTCCAGCTTCGATTCAGAGACAAGTGACAAGAACAATTCTATTGGATGCACATTTTTACAACACACTTTTTATCGCCTGAGACCTCCCAGAGTGTTTATATTGGCTAAGCTACTTTTTAAATAGACACTTCCTAACGCTGTGGGTTGGGCAACAACAGCGCGAGCCATGGACCACAACTTGCAGAAGTAACAACAACTCCTCCTCTTCTCGGAATCATCAAGAAATTTTGCAGTAAAAAAGGTTGAACAAAAATAATGCTAAACCACGAAACATCAATATCGGATTTTGTTACTACGATTCTCATCTCTTGAATGAAGAGATTGTACTGATTGTAGATTTTGATGCCATTTGAAATACGGTGATGATCAATTTCATGATTGCCAGATTCGAAATAGGAATAGTAGTCATTGGCACAAAAGCAGCGTCGGAACTCAATTTACAAACCCATCAATGATTTTTGTAGACATCATTTGAAGAAATCCTTCGGATGTAATACAATACCTATCAGCTCAGCAAAATTCAAACGAAAAAACATTCTACTATTCCGTGATGACGGTCAAGGTCAAACCTTTGAGTACCCCTGAACGGTCGCCCCAAGACTTGGTTGCGTCTTCCATTGGAGAAAATACGGATTCAGAGAGATCACTTCATCATCAACGTTCAGAGAATGATTCTTCCAATTCTTTCTTGTGTTGTTTCTCAATCAAGTACATTCTCATCAATTTGATTGTGGGACTCATTGTCCTTAGTGTTTTGATTTTATCCGCCATTTGGGTCAGCTGTTTCAGTGCCACTGTCTCTGAATTGAGTAATAACATTCGTGATAAGGAATTTTCAAAAATTGTTACTTATACTGATGAAACTCTGAACCGTGTTGCCTTCTTTATGACGACATTTAAGGGACAGCTCTTGAATGATTACAAAACCATGGACCGCACACTTGAAAATCATATTTATAGAGCATACAAGTCTCTGATGAAGTATGAATCCATGCTCACATTTGCTCTCTTTTTGGGCGAGTATCATGGTAACACGCTTGGTATGACTCAAATGGGAAACAATTTCGTGCTGCTCAACTTAACCTATGGCCAAAATCAGAAGTTTTATATTTGCAGAGATTTTCATAATTTTGATTATTGCAATCGAAATTCTACTCCTGACATGGTGCGTCCAGCATTTACGGACCAAGCAGCAGCTAACACTGCTAATAACAATCCAGGAAAAACACTCTTTGCGCCCTCATTTACAGATCCCACTCTACCTGATGTCACACTTCTTTCATTATTGACAAGCTTTGAACTGAACCCACCAGCAAGTAACGGTCAGACAGTCAGTCACTTAATTGGGTACAGCATGACTACCAAGTTTTTATCTTTGTTCTTGATTGAAATGACCAAAAGTATTGCAGGATCTCATACTTTCATTGTTGAGGTTAACACTGACTATATCATTGCAAGTAAGTGTATTCATTAAGTGGAATTCATTCGAATTGTTAAACAATGGAGTAGGCGATCAACAAAATGACAAATCGGTTTCAGGAGGTGCTAGAAAAAAGATTGGAGACATGAATGGCGCCATCAAACAAATTGGTCTGCAAGTCTATTCCAAATTCAATAATAATCTGCGGAATTTACAATGCAACAATCGTCAAGTACTCACTCTCACCGATCAATTCATTCTCATCCATCGATTGTGTAACGAGAATGGAATTGATTGGATGCTGGTATTGAGCGTTCCTCAATGGAATTACATCAGTAATATGGTTTTGGCGATCATTGCTGCAGTGATCAGTGCTTGTATCATTTCCTTGGTGAGTGCTCTCATGGCAGTTGTTGTCTCTCTCCGTATAGTGAAACCATTCCATCAATTGATTCAATCTTTTGAAATGGTTTCAAATATGCAATTAGAAGATTGGAATTTGAGAAAGAGTCAATTGACAGAGGTGACTCAGTTGCAATTACATTTCACTCAAATGGTCAAGAGAATCAAATTATACAGAGCCTTCATTCCTTCTCATTTGTTGTCTCAGTTGGAGAGTAATGAGCATGGAGAGGAAGACAATGCACTTGATACAAAGAAGGATAAGAAAAAGGGTCAACAGTACAAGGTGAAGAGTGATCATGATAGCAACAACTTTTCTTTTGTGAAGAACTCTCATGCACAGGTCTCTTCTGTTTCTCAAAGTCAAGAATTATCACGAAAGAGCTCTTCATCCATGGCAAGTTCTTCAAGAAGACAATCTTCACAAAAAACGCCAATCGATCGATTTTCGCTCTATTCTGAAAAGAGAATGGTGAGTGGAGTCATGCTTCATTTGGATGGATTGAACGAATGGTGGTCATGCATGAATGGAATTGAAATTGTGAACTTGTTGAGTGATGTTTTTGAAGTCATGAATCAACAAGCACGATCATTGGGTGCTCAAATGGGTTCTTTCGATTCTGATTCTCAACTCATCTTCTTCAATGCAGCCAATGATGTGAAGAAACATCAAGAAAAGGCACTTGCATTTTGTGATTCACTTCGATCCAAACTTTCCCAAATCAAGAATCACAAATGGTCTTCAACTCATTCGAACTCACATCAACATTCATTGAATTCGAGTTTGACAAAATTGAATTTCAGAATGGCAGTCACATGTCAAGAATGTATTTGTGGAAATTTGGGAACTCGTGATTTCAAATCATTTCAAGTCATTGGAAGTATTCAATCCAATTTAGATAGAATGATTCAAATAGCGAACAGGTTGAACATTCAAATTATAATTTCACAACAAATTGAACATCATTGCAGTGAAAAGTATCAAATGAGATTCATTCAATTCCAAGACTTGTTGATTGACAATTATTATGCCAGTTGTCCCTTTGATCAAAATGGAATTAACAAGAGTGGTGAGAATGCTCAACAGCCATCAATTTCACAACAACAAATTCCTCAAAACTCTCACAACACTTTCTCTTATTTATTTGAATCATGTAAATTATTTGAAGTTGGAGATAATAACACATCTGAAATGGATGAATGGATGTATGAATTGGAATCCAAAGAAAAGAAGAATCAACGTTGGTATTATTATAATTTGGCTATCAAGAATTATTTTGTTGAAAATCAAGTGGAACAAGCTCTGGAAATGATGAATTTACACATGACTCTTGAAACTTCCAAGTGTGATCTTGTCGCTCGAAACATGCTTTCCCAGATGCAAATCAATAATTCAAGTGTACATTGGCAGCAATAGATGAAGTTCCTGCTTCTGCATCCTCGTAGGCTATGGATTCATTAAGGCATTTAAAAAAATGAACAATTTGAACACAACAGAGACCACTATCCCCACACTAGCAGAAGGGGCAGTGGTGGATCCAATGAGTATTGAGGTGAGCGAGCCTGTTCCAACCACTACCTTTCCAACAACAACAACAACCATGAAGCAGCAAGAAGAAGCAAATAAATTGGATGAAGAGACTGAACAAAAACATATCATCATTGCCAAAGTTTTGTTTGGATTCGGGTTTGTAATGCCTCTCACTTGGCTTGCAAGTATCATTTGGGCCCGGAAAACAAAGTCAAGAGAGGTCTACCGATGGAGAAGATATTCTCTGCTTGCCTTTTCCTTACTCTGTACCTTATTGTTTTGTGCTGGGTGGTTCATCATTATTGTGTATTCTCTCATTCCATATCCAGATCCAGAAAAGTTCAATAGTGGGCTTAAGAATGCTATTCAAATGTATCCCGGCGAATTGATTGCAATTTTGTGGGGTCTCTTAATTGTTGTGGTAGTGTGTTTTGAGTTCATCAAGGATTTGTATTGGAAAATTAAAAAGTTTAGGGAAAGTAGAAAAAACAAGCAATAGCAATTCATGTATATTTCTGCCATGTTGAAAATATTTACAAATCATCAAACCAACAACTCGTATTAATATTACGATATATATGTACCATACGTCCATGTAACACGGAATGTGTTCTCTCCTCTCATGATGACAATAAATAATCGTATTTCAATAACATTGAAAGAATAATAAACAAATATCATGGTAATCATCCTCATCGGAATTTTCATTTCCGATATCATTCAATAGTTTTCATAATTGTGTTGGGAATAATAATTCATTGCTACTCGTCGAATAAAATCTTCATTGGAATCAAAGTATATGGGCATCAGTGCTTGTTGTCTTCGATTTACAAAATTACGATATTGCATCGTGTTTGCATTTTGGGATGAATAAAAATCGGGAGGCATGTACGAAGACGAAGTTCGTGTCCGACGGTTTCCTCCTACTGATGATGAGGCTGCAGTTGTCGTGCGAGGATAGTGTTCGGTTGTTGACGGAGCCAATTGTTGAATGAGTGATGAGAGCCGTCGAAGCATGATCGCTTGCTGTTGTGGCCGAGGAAACAGGAAGGAAGATGCTGTGAAATCGTTCGAATGATTGGTCATATTTTTTTGGTTTAGTAACTGCATCGTTTCTTTCAAAAAAAATTAAGAGTGACACACAACGCGTTTAACTCTTGAGGAACAAAATTTGCTGGCCATGTGCCATTTTAAATTTGTAAAGATTTATCTCAAAAGATCATTAGTTTGAAATGTTTCTGCATAGAGTGCCTTAAACTTTTCAACAACACGTGAGAGCACTTTGAGAAAACCTTGACTAGGTTGTCTCATCAGTCCATTTGCGTCACACGACCATGTAGTTGTTGAGTTGGAGGATGTCCCACTCATGTTGTGATTGTTCTCATTATCAAGGTAGAACAATAGTCGTTCAATTATTTTCGGTCCTCGTTCTCTGAAATGCGCTCGAATCATGTTTTCAAAATGTTTGGGTGGATGTCGCAAATTTTTCATCATGTGACGAACTGAGAGCAGTAATGCATTTTCATTGTAAATAATACTATTGTTAGTTCCTTCTGAGGTCTGCAAATGTCGATCATAATTGGCTTCATTGAAATAAGGCTCTGGAACTAGCACCAATCCTTGAATACTCAATAATAATTGTAAAATATTTGATGTTTTGGGATTCCATGCCTCTGTGTCATGTTTAGCTTCCCAAGTATTCAACAAGCTCAAACAAATGTTTCCATTCTCATATAAATTTGGATTCAATTTTTCGTTATAAGAGAAAAACTTGACCACAGGCGGAGCACTAGGATAAGAGTGTGGAAGATAAATGTCAAAAACGAAAACTCCGTCAAAATAAGGTGTTCCTGAGGCTCCAATAATCATTGCTCTCAGTAAATCAATTCTGTTCTCATAGGTCTTGACAAAAATGTTTTTAGGAAGATTCTTCAAGAGGCGCCATTCTTTTTGAACGGTTTGGATGAATTTCTTGTTGGCGTTGTGTGAAAATTGATAAGTTCTGAAATGATGGTCAGATAAAATGTCAATTCCTTCTTGAACTGGTATCACTTCAAATTGTTCAAATGGAACGGTCGTCTCTGTGCTTGAAGAACCTACAATGGGTTCCTCACTTGGTACAGAAGTTGCAGATTCCTTTTCAGCTGCAATGTTGGGTGGCACCAACACAGTTGAATCATAGTGGACACGTGTGGCACGTGCTTTCTCTTCCTCATTCGTTCTGATATACTCTTCTGATGACGAGGATTTGTATGTGATTTTTCCCTCTCTATCTCTCATGTCATTGGACAATTGGATAAGCCTGTGAATGTAATCTTGAACACCTCGTTCATACAAATCTTCCTCATCATCGTCGTCAGTGCTTTTAGAAGTTTCTTCATCCTGTTGATGATCATCTGCAGACAGCGTTTCCCATGATTGTTCATCCTCATCCTCTTCTTCGTCATTGCCTTCACCAGATACCGTTTCCCAAGATTCGTTCTCATCCTCTTCATCATCACTGTCCTCACTTTGATTTGAAAATCGAGCCCTTAAATGAGGTGGGAGCACTAATTGAACGTCTCCATTTTCTGATACTCTCTGTGCAATTCGATTGGCTAGGGCCAGCTCTCTCTCAAATTCAGCTGCTTTGTCTGATCCTTCAATTGTCTCAGGATCAATATTGTAAGGATTGAATTCGTCATCTCTAAAGTCGGCTTCAATTTTTTCTACAGTGACCACCGAATTGTAAGCACATTTCGAAACCATACCACCAATCCATTGAACCACAAGCTCTTCATCGTTCATGGCGATAATTTCTCCTGCCCAATCATTGCTTTGGGATGAGTCGACTCGAATCACCACGTCTCCCAATCTATAACAATAGTCTGTAGAGTCTAAGAGATCAAAAATTGAAAGGTCTTCCGTGATTGGTTTATCGAGAGGTATTCCCGATTCATCTGTGATCCACTTCACTGTACAAATTCTCTCTTTGGTATTTACACGTTGTACACAGCCCACTTTGTGCTGTACGGCTTTTTCTTCATTTTCGTCACTCTTATTTACAACAAAATCGTGAGGATAAAAGTCATATTCTCCAACATGGTCTAAAGGTTGAAGCATGGTACTTGGCAGTTCTTTCTCTATGGAAGCATCTTGCCATTCAACATCGACAACGGTATGAGTATTATCGATAACGACCACTTTTTCTCGAATGTCCATGGATTGTGTTTCATAGTCATCAATTTCGACAAATTGGGGAGCATCATTGTTGTCTGTTAAAACAACAATGTCATTGACGCTCCAATTCGAGTAGGTAAAGTATTTGAAAATTTTCAAGTCTTTCAAAGTTATGTCTTCATCAGGTGGTTCCACATTCATATCTACAGAATGAATGAATGAAACAGACACGTGCACGGGAGTAATATTAATGACTTGACCTATTTTGTGCTTGTCAGCATTATATTTTGCTCCATTCAACCAATGAGCTTGATTCAGAATCCGTTTTCTATGTTTCGTGTTAAAATTAATGAGTTGGCATGGATAGAACGCCTGGCTTTCATCTTCTATATCTGTGTCCAATAATTTTACTGGATTAGGCCTTTTGAGAATGCATTTTGACCCATCGTTAAACAAAATTGCAACGTTAAATTCACAATATTCAATTTTTGTTAACCAATCATGGTAAATGGCATAGGAACCCGTCTTGTAATAGTGTAGAGGTTTTAGCCATTTTGAATTTACGTTTTTCATCTTGACCGCATTGTCTCTACATGTTCCTGTAAATGATTCTACCGTGTTCATAAAGCTAACATCGCAATACATGGTCACATCCATAACAGTTCCACTCTGTTTGAAAGGATCACTGATCAAACAAATAATATCTCCATGAAGTAATGATCGATCAATCAAGCTTAATGTATTCTCTTCAACGACTTCCTTTGTTCCATTGTCCCATTCTACAACGACTTGTCCTTTTTGAAGTTCTGGAAGGCTTTCATCATCCGAGTCATCCGAGTCACTATCATCATCGAGAGACCCAAATACTTTTTGAACAACACCAATCATCACAGGATGGTGTTTATGTTGATGTTTATCGCGATGAGAGGGTTCCGATGGTTCCGTGCTCTGCAAAGTAACTACATCTTCAAAGCAAAACCTAGTACATGGTCTAGTGGTTGTTGTTGTTGCTGCTGATTCACTCTTGTTCGTACCCGAAGAAGAGCATGGTGCGGTTGAATTGTTGTTGTGGCTGCCCTCAGATTCCGATTCATCAAAATTTTGCATTTTTTTATGGATTGAAAATTAACAGTTCATTCCGAAATTGTTTGGGTGAACTTCAAACTAAAGGTTTAATGATATTATTTTTGTTTGGAAGAGCAGCCATTGAACAAATGTAAGTAATCTAGAATGAATTGATCCACTGTTATTGGTTTTCTCTCTAACAGAGACTCAAGATCTGTTGTGATTCTTCCTGCTTTACCAAACCGTTGAAGCCAAATGAACAATTACAGCAATTTCTTTCAAAAACCATCACTAAAACACAGTCCTGATGACGCAAGGTTTATTAATAACCTTGTTTTTATTAACGGTTTTAAGTTGCTCAGCACTAAAATAAAAGAGCAAAAGCCACAATTTATTACAAATTCAACAAGTAAATATAATCATCAACAGTCAGTTCCTGACGAACCATTCATTCATTCTTTGAATCAAAAGTGTTGTTTTGGAGGTGGATAAGGAATTGTCAAGGCGTTCACTTTTCCATGATCAGTTCCGACGAAAAGAATGAATCAAGTTATTCAAATTGATAGAGTTTCAATTCAATGAGTCATTCAATACTGATAGAGTTTCAACTCTTGTTGAGGTTATCAAAAAAAAACTCAACAACAACCTTAATCTCAAACAATGAAGAGAAGTAGAGAGGATGAACCTACTCATCCTCCTACTAATCCATCTCTTGCACACGGCATCATTCCATTCTGGGATGAGTACTCACAACAAGTATCGGATGTACTTTGGGCATGTTCAAGAGATTCCTTTCATGAGTTTAATCAGTACAACAACAAGGGATGC